GAAGAAAGTGGAGACAGCCAGGTCTTTAGAAATGAAATGAGTTTACACTCAACAGTTATTGTGAGCTGACATAAATAGATTACGAAGATCATCAGTGAACAAAAATAGCGTGTCCATCAGTTACGTGTATCACAAAACGTTACATTCAAAGTCATGCGTAAAACCATAGTATAACAGGACAAGTAAGGTAACTCCACATAAACGTAGCAGCGTGACTTGTATGTGTGCACGCCAGACGCGTGTCATGTACAAATGCAAACATTTGCATAATCTCGCCGCGCCTTCGCGTTGCGTAGAGCGGGTTGTCACACGCATAATAAATTGATCGGTAATAAAATGAATCGGTCGCTTGGTGTTCAAAAAACGACATCAAATAGTAGACGTGGTTATTTTTGTATTTGTGGTAGTTTCTCAACTAACGTGCCTCAAATTCAGAATTGTTCAGCATTTAATTTCCATTTCATAACCAGACTCCATAATTAGGATAATAATCCGCGATGCTGCGCTGGTGTAAAAATATCAATACGTAATTACCTTCTGCATTTAACAAAGATTATTTCAAAATACCACGAGAATACTGTGATTAACACATTTATTCAAACTATGTTTATAACCTGTAGGTACATCTGAAATAATAATGTAACAACCCTACGCTCCGAGAGAAATGTAGGCATTTACGTCGACCGATTTCTTTTAATTTTATTCACAACACCCGAATCGAACGTCACATTGCACGGTGATTCACGCTCCATACTAAGGCGGTCATAAATACGTAACTCCGAAATTATTATTATTTTTTTATTTTATTACGTTAAAATATGATTAGGTAAACGTAAATTAATAAAATTATACATTTTAAAAAATATTTGACAATATTTAGGTGTAAAAATGTCTCGCAGTAATTTTGTTTTTAGACGATGTATCTAAAACATTTTATACTGCGACTTTTAATGGTAAAACTGTGTAAATAATGATTATTTGTATTAACAATAACCACAAATGAATAAATTAAAACAATAAAAATACATAAAAAAGTTCATTTTACAAAATACAAACAAAACACAAATTATACCAAAATACATTAAATCTCAACAATATTAACTTTAAATACATAACAAGTCTAATACAGCTTTTGACAGTACACCTTTTTTTTTAACAGGTAACTTTCGTAGACCTGTTATGAAGGGATCTGAATGAAGAAGCAGCCTATTTACTAAATCTGTGTTGGTCACAATGCGACTCATTTTACGCGTATGATTTTTTCTAAAAGACTTGATGTATTTGTTAGTCGCTTCAGCTGCTTCTTCAGACAACTCTCCGATTGACAACAAACCGTAATCTATAACATTAGCACCATGAATTAGAACTTTGTGAACGGAAGCAGGCATGTTATACCACGGATACTCGGCAACTAACTGCCGAGCCGTCTCTAAAGCGAACTCTTCGAAGTTCGTCTTATTAATATTATATCCCGAATTTAAATATTGAAGGATGATCCAGCAACGATCTAGGAGATCCTTCTTGATCCCAGTAATTTCAGCGGAAATTTCTGAATTCGAGAAAAACCGCCTGGCTGTATTACCATCGTTTGATGTTCCGCTTCCGCCACTTTTAGGCTTATCCACTATAAGCCCTAATCTTTCTCTAAATTGAGTCTGAACATATGATTTTTTTGCAGCAACAAGCATTTTGTCATTAGCGGACCTAGCTTGCCATTTCCTAACATCTAACTTGTACGCGACATGAACAAAATATTCAAAAAAACGTATTAACGCGTGAAGAGGTGATAAACCAAATTCATATTTACTCTCATCGACTTCCTTATTTAAACATTCGTCAATTTTGTTCATTTCACTGGGCAAGGCGTTACAAATAAAACATTTTGATGAAGAAACACCACTAAGTGCATTACACACTTTACCATCTACCATAGTAAGTTGCAAACAATGAGTAATGCGATATTCGCGATCTTCTTCCTTGAAAACAGTAGGCTGCAAGTTCCTTATTTTATCTTTAAAATGAGCTTCTTCCTCAACTGACACTGCAGTCGATTCCTTCAAATATCGGAGGCGTATAGGCCGACAGTATCGAGTTGATGAAGGACGAGGATTTTTCCACAAAACTACTGAATTTTCTTTGTTATCTGTTGTCAAAACAAGCTGAAGTGGCACATACGAAGTAACAAACAGGCTACTGTCTTCAAGAGTGGAGTCAGAAAAACACTGTTTATATTCTGAATGCCCTGTACTGCCATCGAAACCCATTTCCCTATCAAAGATATCTTATCTAGAGACTCATTAGGTACACTATCCAAAACATCTTTTTGAGACTTGAGAATCCGATTGGCAGTATGATCTAATAAACTTTGAAGTTCGACTTCGGCGGATGATTCTGTAACAGTAATATCTGAAGGATAACAGTGTTTTTTAGATTCCACGACACTTTGGTAAGATGGGAAAATGGTTTTTGAAAACTTATTGTCTATAAATTTCTTTACTAATATATATTGATGTCGAGTTAACTGAGCTTCAACAATGAGCGATAAAACTTCGCTAGAATCGATTTCAGGACAAGACAAGCTATCGGACGCATTGAGCAATGACTGTACAAGAGAAGGGTCTTGGTTAGACAAACTAGCCAATCTTCTCCTTTTTGTACGTTTACTGGTGTCGTCAAAGTTAATTCTCGGACGGCCATGCGATGAAGAAGTTGATGGTTTAACTTCGTCAAAGCTCTGAGATACACGTAACTCAGTTCGCTGTACATCAATATTTTCAACGACATGCAGCCAATCTGAATATTTTTCTAAGAATTTAGATCTAGTACGATTCGACTTTGCCCAGTAGTGGGAAATTCGTTTACAAATATTCTTAATTTTAAGGCTTAAAGTCTCTAAATCAATATTTTCGATGTCGTCAGAAAGGGATGATGTTTCGGTCAAAGTGCTCAGGACGTGTTGCATTTTTTCATTTGGATTACCCACTTTAGAGTGCCAAATATCAAAAATTGTCATCCTCGATACAGAACATTTGAAAAATGTACCTAAAACAATATGAAAGCTGAACTTAAAAAAAAATTAAAAATTCAATACTATGGACATGCATACTTTGACACCCCTTTAAGCCAAGAAGAGGCAGCAAGATGCAAATGAAACTTATAGCTCTTAATAAGGACATACTCCTTATTCAAAAACCATATACCTCAGGTGCAGCTCAGCGCAGCCAAAAGTTGTAGGTCTAAAGGAAATTAAGTTATGCCAAAAATTTTCACCAAAAAACTGCCTTCAATAAAAAAATTATATAAAAAAAAGTATGCATAAAAAAAATTAAAAAAAATTGATAATAAAAGTACATACCATGCTCTTGGATCTCCATGCTTTCACAACACGTAAACACTTGATTTGGAATAGTGACACTCAAAAACAAAGTGATTAAGTTTCGATGACTCACACGTGGTGATAATTAGTCTCGCGATGCGCTCACTTCCGATGCACAAAAGTGAATGATAACGTGACCTAATTACATTGATATTTATAGTTTTTGGAAGCTTGTTAACTAGTTACTAACTTAGTGAGTTGATCTAACCGGGATAAGCCAATGATTTTTTTTTATTTATGGCCTATGGGGGAATCACAGTGCATTGTCGTATTCGAAACCGAACCGAAATGACGTCACACCCGTACGATTACTGCAACTTCTCGACCGGCAAAGGCTACAAACGTTATTCAGAACACAGTTATCGAATCAAAGTTACCGAACGTCTTATTGTTTAGAAAGCAACACGGTAATATGGAAACCTCTTATTATTTGAAATAAACTCTGGATTTCGTTCAATTTTATTGATTTATTTTAATGCAAGACTAACGCATTCCTATATTTTAGGCCTTTAAAATCTTAAAAATGTATATATAAAAGGATTTTAATTTTTCTTATAATCTATTTTACCGACTAACTCCGTAAACGCTGTTGGATTACGATATCGTGGGGTCTACTCTCGATCGCCGTCTGACATCCGTCCGAAACAATTACTGCCAAATAAGCAATACTTGACCAAATTAAAAGACGCGTGATGCGAATGAAGCTTCATTCTTGTCTTTTAATTTTGTCGAATATCAATTATTTAACAGTAATTGTTTCGGACGGAGATCGAGAGTGGATTTCCCATACATCAGGCCCTTATAGGTGACCGCTTACAGGTGAGATCATAAAGTATTAATTAATTTGACATTTGACAATATTATTAGATGACTATCGGGATGGTCGGGAGTGATCTGAGCTGAGATCTAATGCGGAAGTCTATTTCGATCCCGTCATTTTGCGATGCTCTTTACAGGTGATGTGTTGCGCGTGCGCTGCACAGTGGGGTGCACTTGTTTTGGTTCAGTGCTGTACCTATATGACTTACTTATTAGCCACTGTTGAGCACGAATTTCGCCTAAAAATTGTTCAGACATATCCTGTTTGTTATCAGGAATTTAACTTTTTTTAAATCTTTTTTTTTGTGAGATCACCTGAATATCGAACAAGACCTATGAAATTCGTCAAATATCTGTAAAATATCAGTGTATTATATTTTGAAATACTGAAGTCTACCACAGCCCACGATGCAGATTCGGCGGTAGTGTCTGTCATATAAATATATTCGAAACTGAAGTGTCAACGCGCCCCCACGTAGCAGGTAAGATTGAAATACATATGTCCGCTTTGTTAGTACAAAATTAATTAATTTATAAACTTATTTACAATCTCGATAACTTGATATATGTATCGTTATGAAAAGATGGCAAGGTGTTAAATATAATCAGATATGACATGAAAAATATCACAGATAAGGATACGGTCTGATATTTAATTCTTATTGCGAGATAGTATAGTGGTGTCTCGACTATAAACAGAAGGTATAATATAATATAGTTTAATTTGGAAAAAAAAAAGTTACATAGCGTGTTACAAAATATGTGCATTCTTCAATAAGTTACGCATATTGTTACAGTTGCCAGTGAAAATACTCCAAAATCAAAATCTAGTCTTTTCTTGTTAAAATAGAATAGGTGAAAGTACTTAGAGCGCCATCTAGTTTTAATACGGCAAAACAGTAAGAACCCTAGAACTCGAACAAAGGTAAACATTGTCACTTATTACAAAGTTGATATGTGCATAACAATTCATCATCATTATCATCATCAACCTATTTATATGTCTTACAGCTGGGCACGGGTCTCCTCTCAGGTCATTCAGGCCAAATTGTTAAATAACCTGTTCTTTAATATTTTCTTATACACTTACATATACTTTACGTTGTTAATGACAATGGGCTGTTATCCACAACTCCATGAGTCACGTTTTGAACATTATTATAGCTAATGATATAAGAAAATCGGAGTATTTACCTCTTTAGCTATGGCATCAAGGGCCTGCTCCTCGGCAGATGCCTTGGTCTGGGTGCGTTGCCGCCGCGACGAATCCATCTCACTGTGTTTGCTGAAACATAATAAAAGAAATTCAATTTTATTTGGCACTATCACAGAAATACAGGTTTTTTAATTACATTTTGACAATTCATGTACATTACAAGTGCATAGCCGTAGATAATGAGCCATTCTATTGAGCTAAAGCATGAGGTAGATGGCATTGGCTACAATTGTACAATTAAATTTGTTACTCAACATAATTTAAGTGAAACATGGTGTATAATTTGTAGTTCATGAGGAATTAAACGTATTTACAATAATATTTGGAAAAATTGTAATAACTTCAATCGTTTACAACCTACTTAACCTATCACACATCCTACCTTACGTCTGTGTGTCCATAATGATTTTGGAAATTTTGGATGTGTTAGAGACACCATGTGGCTTTAGGAAGCTATGGTATCAAAATCATTTATGGCACTGTGAGAGGTTAACAAAATGACCTGCACACATTGACTTACAAATAAATGGACAACGGGTCTAATACAAAAACCACGAAAAAAATGTCCCAAGTCAACCTATTTAAACGTAGTGACATGTAAAGGAATATGAAAAAGCTAAAACGTTGAATTTAAATTGTAATGTCATCACAGTACTGTCTAATTTTGCTTGCTTCGCTGTCAGTCGAACAAACGATGACTAAAGCGTGAATGACGCTCTGTATATTATTTTAACGCCCTATAAGTTCGGACACTTTTTAGCACGGACCCGACATCCATATAATTGTAAGTCAATGCCTGCACAACACAATTATAAGCAGAAATATATATAATGTACTAATACAAATTTAAAGCTGCATTCTAATTCTAAGGATAGTGATGATAATGGACAAAGTTTTTTTGCAATTCCACATTCACACATTTTACAAATTAGACAGGAAAAAGTGAAACTATTACGCATATATTTGTTTTTTCAAACAAAGAAAAAAAAGGTTTGTTTGAACAAACAAGTAGATTTAAATCCAGAAAAATAGTTTCATTTCCTATGTGTAACAATCGCGAAAACCTAAGAACTTGATATAGACAAGAAAACTTTAGCTCTAATAAATTTTAAAATACATCATTTACATATTGTTTACATCTATATGCAATATTGAATAAGGACAGTGCGTTCATATAAATTAGTTGATGTATTCTGAATAATATGTGGTTATCACTAAAATAAATAAGTTGAATTTGTTCCTCATGTGACACGATAGGGTTTTATGTAGTATTGAAGTGTTTGATGTAGCAAATATAAGCAAAATCCAGTTGCTATTGTTGCCTGCCAGCTGCAGGCATTCCACAAAGAGAACAATAGCAAAATATAGATAAATTATGCAGTTACAATTTCCATTAAACAACAATACCACGCAGTAACCAATAAATAAGAACAATTAAGGTACTTTCAAAGAAAACAATACCACAAAGTGACCAACTACATAAGATTGCAATACAGTAACAAGCTAAATAACACTGCCATAATTAAGGCACTTTCTTTCAAGTAAGGGTGAAAAGTAGTAAACTAATTACAAACCTGGCTGCATGCATGTTCAAGATGTCATTGACTGAACCATATTGATACAAAAGCAGACAGAGCACAGTCAAAATATTGTTGTCACTGTACAACTGTTTAATTTTCCGCCAAATTAAAACAGTCGGCGGTGGCGACGCAGCTTCGCGCGACTTACGGGATCCGCGCGAAACTTAATTTACATAATTATCTGGAACAACTCGGCTATAACCTACAGGGTTCATTGCGCCGCGTCCGCGTGGATGTTAAACTCAAACAATATCACAATTACAATTCTAGTAGGAAAAGAAATGGGCACAAAGCCAACATATTTTTTATGGCAGTCACTACAATGACATCATACTTACGGGGACAGTTTACAGATGTAAACACATAACTGCTACAGGCACTACAGGGAAACCTGGCCGCTCAAACCAGCTCCAGACCGCGTACAACCCAGTTAACAAAATAACACACGCGTAACACAAAAAATTTCCAAAATATTACAAATACTAGGACACGAAATCACTGCCTACACAATTCACATTGATAGTACAGCAAAATTACACTTCCTATCTAACCTGAGCAGTTATTTGGCACGATAGATTATTCTTTTAGTGAATTAACCAGTTTTTTCGATTAGGAATGTGTAAATTTTACATTTTTCACTAAAATTAATTCTACAAAAGCCAGTATGACATGCATGCTATTGCCATTTTAAATTGTCGCGTTCAGGAATAATTGACTGTTGTCAATGAACGCTAGATATTACTGCGTTCATAATTGTATAGTTTTCGTCTCTCAACGGTATTATTTTATCGAGATCTACTCATATGATTTACAAAATATCAGGAAAAATAATTAGCTAATGTGTTTACAATTAATATTTATATTATACATAATTATATTGTTAAGTGTACACCAAAAGAATTTAATTTTACTAACGATAGAGCTATTTTCAATATTATCATTTGTCTGGTAAGATGGGATAGAAGTTCAATTAAATGCAAAAACATAAATAAAATTCCACTTTATTTTCATTCGATTACAACATTACCCATTTCATTTAAAGTAACAAATATTATTTGTGGACCTCATTCGCTGACACGTTTTATGAACATACAACACTAGAAAATGAAAATAAGGAATATTCTAACATCTAGGGCTCGTATCACCGGTCACTACACTCGACTATGTAGTGTAAATAACCAATCTTAAATGAGCCATCATTCAATATTCTAATCAGATTTCGTCTTTGTATCTTCTTTGTAGTAAAGAAAGACAAACGAAAACAGGAACACACCAATCATCATGGAGAATGCGCTCACGTAGTACGGGTATGCGCTTGGAATGAATCTCTCATATTGAGTGTGTTGTAGGGGCCGGACTGACACCTGTAAAGGAATAATAGGTTTATTTTCAAAATTACTCATAATGTTTAACATTAAAATAAAAATAAGGCGAGTTCAATAGCTTTGATGGATATTTTTGTGGATTATTTTGGCTAAGTCTGAATTGTTTATCTTTATCTGCCCTCAAAAAAATGGAAAAGATTTTTTTCATTTGTTTAGTGTTTGTGCCAATGCCAAATGAAAAATACTTAACGCGTAAAAAGGAATTCTGAAGTAGAGAGACACATTTTGTAAAGAAAGGATCAATTTTTGTTTTATCATTTGTAAAAAAAATTGTTCTTGAAAATACTGCAATATGCAGAGATTTCAAACGTTTCTGCTCAATTTAAATGCATAATCAGTTCCCTAAATTATCTATAGTGTAAGATGATTTTCCATTATAACATAATATGAAAAAAGTTATGGCCCAAAACTAGGTTCAGGGGCTCTACTCCAGGAGCCTTACTGAACTCTTAATACAGTTCAGTATATGTTCGTAACGACAAAAAAGCGGGATAGGTCCTAAACTGAATCGTAATAAGAGTTCATGGTAAGGCCCCTGTTCTCTGTTCGACATCAGTCCAAAACGTACTGTTAAATAAATAATACTCGATAAAACAAAACTTTTAATTTGGTCGAGTATTTCTTATTTGACAATAATTGTTTCAGGCAGATGTCGGACGGAGAATGGGAAAAGACCCCCAGACACAAGTGGTACAGTGTCTAAAGATTTGTTCGATTTTTTGACTATTGATACATGTGATTAGACACAATCGAATAAATGTGTAAGCAGGAACAGACAATCGACACTGAAATTTAAATTAAGTGAAGTTTGTTCAATTTGAACCTTAATATTAATCAATCACAGTCAAAATCCGAGCAAATCTGTAGGCACCTTACTTATAACCGCACCCGAATGCATTAAAAAATACATAAAACCAACCTGTGTGGAATGATAAAGTCTAGTGTACCCAACACGGTCATAGTCCACCTTAAACTGGTACACTCCCCATACATCAGGCACTTTGAATACAGCTTCGTATACTCCATTGGGTCTTTTCTGCAATGTGGTGCGTATGAAGGGGTCGATACGAACGAACTCTAGCTGAACGTCATTGGCTTCGAATGGTTGCCATTGACCAGCCCTCAACTCTTCGATTTCGATACGGTATACCTGTTGATAAGCAAAAAGGTTTGATTAGAAAAAACAAGGTATGTATAACTTATTTTTAGCTACGTGAAACTGCATGTCTACCTAAATGTTGCAACACAAATGAGATGTTCTCACTAACTTAAAAAAAACTATAGCATGGTTGTTCCTTTTTTTTTTTTTTTTTATAATACTAAGTGACGGGACGAACAAGTCCTGCGCCTGGTGGTTAGCGACACGCCTATCCATAACAGTTGCAGTGTCATTCATAGCTTTAAATCTTAAAGATCTTAGGCGCACTGCCACTGCGCCCATCACCCTGAGACATAAGTTGAAACTACCATGTGCCTGTAATTTCACTGGCACCCTTATAATTGTAAACCGGAATGCAGTAATGCTCACATTACTGCTTGGCGGTGCAAATAGGTAAGGTGGCAGTACTTCCCTGGACGACATCTTTCACAAGGAGTTCTATTGCAACATTGCTGAGGCGTAAACCTGAACGCACCACCACATACTGGGCCCAAATTGATAATTCTTGGATATAGGAAACTTGTGGAGTATTGAGCAAATTTTTTTTTATATAGATAGATAGTAACATTCCTAACAACTTTTATTCTTGTATATTTTCTTGAAAGATTTGGAGAAAAAAAAAATTTTTTTTTTGTATGGAGAAATATACATTTTTTTTTTATCTCAAAAAATTTAAGAAAATGTAATGTGCGTGGGTTACTTACAGTATAGTTCCAAAAATTTTCTATGTAGAAAAAAATAATCTGTCTGCATGTACTTGCGGCATTGTAAGTAAAGATGTGGCAAAATTGTTAACTTTTTATGTACTTTTTTAACAAAATACATGAGATACGACTAAAGAAAAAATAATTTTAGTGTAATTTAGAGAATGTTATAACAATAACACGAATGTTAAGTAGAAACTAGCATATTGTGTTAAAAAATAAATAACAAATCTAAAATTTTGCCACCTTTTTACTCATAAAGCTGCAAGTACCTGTAGATGAATGATTTTTTTTTTGATAGAGAATGATTGGACCTATACTGTAAATAAATATAGACATTACATTTTTCTGCATTTTATACATTTTTGTACAAAAATTTTTTTCACTGAAACAATCAGCTTTTATAGATATTACATAAGAATAAAAGTTATCAGGAATGTTATTATTTATCATATGAAAAAAATCAGCTCTGTATCGACACTTATGTCCTACTTGAGCAAGACATATGATGTTACTCAATTTTCAAAACGATTGTCCATAAATCATAGTATATTTATATGAATATAACTCTATAGAATGAGTTTGACAAGGGCCACAGCACAAGATATGATGTGGTACAAAATGTGGTGAAAGCTACGAGAGAGACGGCATAAGAGAGATCCCATATATAAGGTTTATTTTAATAGGTAGCTATCCAAATGTAACCGCCATTAATTACAGTTATACTTACGACAGTGTCAGTAATGGTGTAAGTGTCAGAGGATCCCTTGTCTCCCTGGCGGTGGTGGTGCACGCGGCGCACGCGCAGGCGGCCGCGCTCGCCGAAGGCCCACTCGCTCAGGTGCACGGCAAGAGCCTTATTGCCTGATAAGTCTGCTTGTACCTTATCTCCCTGTAATGACAGTGTGATTGTTTTTATTTCAAAGTATAAGATGTGGATTGATTCACCATAACTGAAGACATGAGTGACAAAGATAGAAATATGAGCGAACAAGTATGCGGACCCCATTCAAAATTCATACCCATTTTCAGAAGTAATGGGTTTAAAAAAATTTAATTACTTACTAAAATTATAGGCAAGAATTTTTACTTTTACATTACTAACAAAATTGGATGAGGTTTGAAATAAACTGTTAATTCTTTTTTAAAACCAGATATTTCCTATAAAATCGTCGAATAGTTTTCAAAACTTCAGAAAACAATAAAGACTGAGAAAAATTAAACTAAAAATCAAATTGTCAAATCAAAATCACATTCCGTAACCACATACCTTAATTAAAAAAGTTTAGATTTTTATGTAGTAATTACCCCCATACTTACATGGACTTTGTTAACGCGAGAAGTGAAGGCTTCATCTGAGAAGAAGAAAAGAGAGCCACTGAAGAGGATGCGAGCGTTGTTCCTGGCCTGCAGGGCGGCGATCAAGACCGTTTTCCGGCCAACAGCGTGTGGGTACTCCTTGACCTATTTGCAAATGTAATAACATTGTATTTAGATGCAAATGAACAGTGTTGCATGATTCAAGAGAAATTGTGGAAAATTTTAAGAATTTATTGTTCCGTTTCGGAGGGTCAACTCCCATTCTGTATCCGAAATCCGTTTGAAACAATTACTGCCAAATAAATAATTCCCGACCAAATTAAAAGAGGCATGATATGAATGAAGCTTCATACTTGGCATTAACTTTTGATTCGGCTGAGTATTACTTATTGGACAGTAATTGTTTTGGACAGAATGTCGAACAACAACGAGCGAAGGTTCACTGGTTTGATAGAATTGGTTTCTGTATATTTGAGAAGCAAGTATGTAGAAAAGAGTAGCTATAGATACCCCTGAAAATTTGCTACTGTGGCTGTCACAGAGGTATTTATATAGCTGCCTATTCACTTAGCTACATAAACTGAGCTTTAAGCCATTTCCATCCTAAGTAGCATCATAGTGAATGCAATAAAGAATGGAATTTAATTTAGAGAATCTTGTAAATGTACACATTTCTAGGTTCTTTGTTGGAAATTTTTAGAATCTACTTGAAATTATACTATTTTAAATACGTTTCCTTCTTGTCTTACAATAAAGAGAAATATGTATCTTTAATGTTACGTAAATTTAAATTTTTCATTGCCCACACCACAAAACCAAAATTTTTGTTGGACAATAAAGTTTTTTTATGTTAGAAACAATAATAATAAAGCACATACTCAACATAACAACAATAAGATGAACAAGATCCATCAATGTGTAGCTTGATTTGCTGCCGTCTGTACATTCATGACAAAATGGGTGACATATCCTTCAAATAATATTTTATTACAGAATTACCTGGTTCTTTGGGTTATAGCTGTATGCTGTACTGTCAGCAGTCAGAATAGGCATGACCAAACTGTTGTCCTTATCCAGAATGAGACCCGTGCCCTCAAACAGCAGAGGCTGGGTGTTGTGATGCCCAACTATGATAGGTGCATTAATCAGGTTCTTGGGTGAAACAACTACTCTTGTATGTTCTCCCTCATCCGACATATCATAGTTAAAGTGGTCAATTACAGCAGCCGATTCTTCATCCATCTGGGAATTTAAATATTGAAGGTTTATGTCCTTTTTCTTCTAACAATATTTATTTATAATAATAACTCTTTATTGCACAAAGAAAAGATACATGAAACACAAGTTATAAAGGACATATAAAAATTTATTGTCGTATTGTGTTTTAGGTTTTTGCTATTAGTTTAGATTAGATAGTAAAAAGTCTGAAATGTTGGTTTGTTTGAAAAACCAAATAAATGCAATTACTAGAACAGCAAAATTTGCAAGTTTGTAATATTTTATAATATTACAAATTTTAATTATAAATTTTAATACTTTGTAATATTGTACTTAAAAATGGTGTACAGGTTGTACATTTTCAACATTTTTCATTAAAATGCTTGTACCACAAAAAGAAACATGACTCCGATTAAAAAAAATTTTTTTTTCTGGATTGTTACAAACTAGGCAACATCCTGTTCTCAGGTTATCGTTGAATCTTGAGACACCTGTATATACATTTAGTGTCCTTCAATGTTTATGTATACAGTATATTTTCTAAAGTAATAAATGTAAGTTGTCCAAATTTGCATGCTAGATGCAATTTTTCACAAAATAAAATAAAAAAACCACATGGAAGTGACGAACCTCAACACTTTGTACAAGTCCCAGAGTACAGAAATGTTAGATAAATAATGCATACACATAGACAACCAGGAGCGATGGAGGTCAAATGTGCACTTATTTAATTATAAAAAAAAACCACAAATCACAACCAAACTCATGAGAGAATAAATGTAGGCCATACAAGTATTTATCTCTGTGAGGTAGGGCAGCATGTTCACCATTCGGCAACAGAGGCAGTCAAATAGAGTAGTAGTAGATAGAGTAGTAGTAGATAGAGTGCAAATCGTGTATTTGTTTAATATAGAAGAAGTTTTCCTTCAATATAAATTACCTCAAAGCCACATTCCGACGCAATCTCCCTGTACACGTCACCAGCAGCGGCATTGCCAGCCATGAGCAGATTACCACCATCGTCGATGAACTTCGTAATCGCCTCCGTGTCGATCTGCCCACCGAACTCCAATACCGTCGGCGCGAACACAATCAAATTCTTGTACAAATATTCGCCATATTTAGACAGCATTAAGTTGGCATCATCAGCCAATTTGAATGTCAGGGTGTAACCACGATCTGCAATAACAGTTGAAGATTATTAACTCGGTTTTAAAACATAAAATTGTTTGCCAGCCTACCGGCTTCTGGCCGACACGCAATCGATTCTTCACTCACCCTGCAAGGACTTGAAGAATTGTGAGTGTGTTTCTCTAATAATTAGATTGTCTACGAGCACAAGAGTTTCTTTTTCATTGGTTGCTACACAAAAGGGCACTAATAAACCTAAAATTATGAAAAACTTCATTTTTCTCAGCAAAAATTAACCTAGCTTTGTAACCAATGACGTGTAATTACACTGAATTACACACACACACACACAGAGAGAACGAATGACCGAATGATCTTTATAACTGTCATTTGTGAAAGGGGTATTTTATTGAACAGAGGTAAAGCGAGAGAAAGTGGTACATAGTGTTCACGACATTTACATTTTTCTGAGTTGGACATTATAATTTAATTTTCTCGTAAACAAATTTTTTTTTCACGTTCCTATTTTTTGGTAATTATCTTTTAAGGAAAGCTAAAAGAAAAAAATAGAAACCCTGTTTGTAATATAAAGATTGCAAAATGGCGGGTTATAGTTTTTTCAGAAATAAATGTTTAGTTTAATTAATAATACGTTTTGAGTTTCTTAATTGTTTGTTGCTTGTTTAAGCTGATGGCTCTATAGCCATTGCTCAACAAATAAATAACCAATTATAATGGATAAAAGGCTAACCACGAATAACCAAGAATAAAAAAATTAAATGTGATGTCTCTTCTATAAATATTGTTTATGATTAATTGACATTTGACATTTAGTAAAAATGTTTTATTTTGGTATAATTCAATAATTTTCTTATATAGTGCCCTAAACTAACAAGGTGCACGACACTGGCAGCGTTATTTCAATCCCGTCTTCCATAAGTGTAGCTAGAATGATGATATCGCGGTCTAAGCACCGCTCGACTGCGGAAATATGTGCGGATTGTGGAGCATCAGGTGGACACAATTAACTAGTACTGTGTAACGTTTATATTAGTACGTCGGTGATTGTTTTGTGTTTATACGGTTGTATTATTTTTGTAGATCCGTCATGGGCGTCCATCAACCGCGGGTTGCTGCTTTGCGCGGAATGTTGCAGCGTTCATCGGAGCATGGGCCGACACATCTCTCATATAAAATCTTTACGACAGGGTACTTGGCCTCCTTCGCTCTTAGCTGTGAGTATCCATCAAAGTTGACACACAACTACAACTTAAAATATAGAAAACTAAGTACACATACCTCAATTACTGAGAAGTAGGTACTTATTAAATATTTGACGTTGATAAACTTTTTCAACTTTATGCAGATGGTCCAAGCCCTAACGGCCCAAAACGCGAACAGTATCTGGGAACATTCACTGCTTGATACTTCAGCTCCTAAACACTTGAGGAAGAAGCCACAGCCTAAAGACCCTTTGCAGTAAGTTTTTTCATCTCATCTCATTCTTGTACTGTTACATGCATGACTCTATATTTACAGTTCACATTCTTTTAATGTATACATGATGACTATGATGATATTACAAGTAAAGGTATGAGTAAAAACCTAGTTTTGTAACAAGAAAACTTAGGATCCCTTAGTCATAGCTTGTTGTAGTAAACATTTCAACACTCAATTTTCTTACAAACCAACTGTGCTAGGAGTGCATTACTATTACTTATTTTGCAAGTGTAATACAAAATTGTATTTTTAACATCTGCGCTGTAACTGGGGAAAAAACTAATGATCTTTAAATTGTTCAGTAAATTTTCATGAAACATAGTGAAGATCTTGAATAAAAACAGCCTTTACATAAAAAAAAGGCATAAGATCAGTCCATCTGTTTAGAAGCTGGAATGTCATATATAGACACATAGATAAAGGCTTTAAATCTATAACTCACTTCTTGCCATTGGGGATAAAACTGAACAACTTACCACTATCAAAACCTACTAATAAGTTTATATACCAATTACAGATTAACAGACTTAAGATAAATAGTAATAGGTATATGTAGTACATGTTCCATAAACAAGAACAGCAGGTAGTTTTAAGAGAGAAAATAAATAGAAATAACTAAACCATCAACTGCAGTCACTACCTCTTTAATTTCCAGCCCAACAAAGTCTGAATTCATCTTAGCTAAGCATCTTCGCCTAGCCTATGTGTTGCGGGCACGTCGTGATGAACCACCCAGTGAATTAGGCAGACAGTTACACAGTGCAGTGAGAAGTTCCTCTCTTGACACTGCCTTGAGGTTGCTGGCACAGGGGGCTGATCCTAATTACTATAACCAGGTACATTGCATCTTCTGCCCACATTTTTTAGATTACCTACTTCTTTGAATTTTCCACTTCCATGTAATGTCTTTTTCACAATTATAACATTCATATTCATTCATTACGTAGAAGGAAATTAAGCTTTAAAAACATTCATTCATAAGCAATTACCACAAAGTGTTAGTCATAATTGTTTGTAATTGCTATCCTTACGTCATATGTATGCACTTGGTTTGTATTAAATCATGCTATGAACATAAATTGCTTTAATGAGTTTAAAAATTCTGGATTCCTTATGAGACATGGTAGATGGCAACAAAGTCTCCTTTTCAATCAATGCAGTTCATATTGTTATGTGATTACAGTCAATCAAGTAGCAATGGGATCTTAAATCTTACTTTGAAATAAGGTTTCAAAATTATTGCTTTATTAATTATTATATTAATATTATTTTATTAATTTTTATTTTTGATTTAATGACTTGGAACAACAAAAAGCGATGTGCTTTTAGGAGACAATTTTTATATTAGCTAGTGTCAAATAATGTTCTTTTGTTTTGAGATTTTCACGATTTCCAAAAATTATTTTCTAAAAACTTTGATTTTCTAAAACTAAACATGAGCAGAGAGCTTCCTTTTGACTAAGTCTACCTTCAAAAATAATGTCAACAGCCATCTCGACTTTAGCTATTCTAAAGTTAAGTTGCAACTTTACTTTTAACTTTTTAACTACCTCCTTAACATGAACTGCCTCCGTGGCCGAACGGATACCATGCCGGACTGCCACGCAGAGGTCCCAGGTTCGATTCCCGGGCCGAGAGAAATAGTTGTATGGCCTACAATTATTTCACTCGTGAGTTTGGGTGTAATTAACTTCTAGAAACATGTATATTTAACTGGACAGGAGAAAGGAACAGCATGTCTCCACGTAGCGTGCCGCGCGGGACAGCCGGCGCAGGCCGAGTTGCTGGTCGCGTGGGGCGCCGACCCTACCGTCAGGGATCACTCAGGACTAGTACCTGCTGATTGTGCCAGGTACATTTTTATTTACAAAATCAGTCTATATATGAAAACCTATTTAATTAAAAATAAATTACTTTGTTCTTTGGTGAGCTCAATGAAGGTTAACTTGTGCAAAATAGCTGCACTATTCCCCTTCTCCCTCCACATACAATTAATAAAAATAACAGAAACGCAACTGAGACCATGAACCTAAATTTGCTACGTCCCTGACAAATGTCGCCTCCTCCACTCACCTCAGTCTTTCCATAAACGCTCGTTTGGTCTTGTTATTAATAAACTGGCTTTTTTTAAGGCCATACCCAATATGGTCGAGATTTCGACATCAACAATTAACACTACGCTGATTCGAATTTTGTCTAATATGCATTTTCAATGCCAAATTATTTAGCTAATGTGAATTAAATCAAACATCCAATGACTTCAAAGAGTCCAAAACAACATCCTTCGAACTACCAGTGGTGCCACATGGTACACCATGAACACTGAAATCCACGAAAACCTGGAGATTCCAACAGTTCTAGAAGTGAACTTGTACCCTCTCGCTTAGGCACTGGTTTATGGTGGCAACATTAGGAGACTGAAACAACGTGTTCAGTGACTAGGAGAGGCTGAAGCAGTGACTTCCTCGCTCTCCAGCGCCAACAATTACTCAAACTATTTCATTATAGTCTGGCGACTGATTGTAAATAAATAATAAAGAACAAATTAAAATTAATTTCAATTAAGTAAATAATACAAAAAGTAATAATCACGCATTTTGTAATGTATGATGAATAACTTGTAGTAAAAAAATAATGAATATGTTTGAAGTATAAAATATTTATGTATGTTTGGAAATGAAAAAGTTATCCGAAATTTAAAGTTATTTAAAGCACAGTGTTAATTGCTGATGTCGATATATACTTCGACGTAATGTAATCTATAATGGACTGTCATAATGACTCGTCGAACAGGCAAGGCGGTCACGCCGAGCTGGCTGACCGAATGACAGAGCTGGTATATGAAGCCACCGACCGGATGATATATTTCTTAACGGGCGAGAAGCCTGAACACGCAGCAGGACGACACTACATCGTGCCGAGGGCGCACGACACGCACGAGATGACCGATGTCGCGAAGGCCGCTAGGGGGAAGCTGCAGCTGGTATGTGTGGCTTGGAGTTCTTTTTTTTTAAATGCGTGTGCATTTAACCCCCCCTGTATTGCAGGTGCCATGGACACACACATAGACAACCACAAATTACAACCAAACTCAGGAAAGAAATAAATTTAAAGAGAAAGTATTTCTCCCGGTCCGGGAATCGAACCCGAGACCCCAGTGTGGTAGTCCAGCAAGGTAACCATTTAGCCACAAAGGCAGTACGGAAGGCAGAGTAGTTAACTAAGGAGTTAACTGGCGTTTCTTATTCAGTTATTTATAACATATATTTTTTTTGTTATTTGCTAGTAACCACGTAAATTTGTTTAATGGTAAATTGTACAGCATCCCTGGCGATTAGAACAAATACACAAAGAACATAGTATATTATGTACCACTAGTTTTGTTATTATTGTTAGTACAATAATCGAACATGTAGAAAAATTTCTTACACCTTAACCTTCAACTTGACCTGTGGCTCAGTTGATAAGAGCAATACGACGACGGTGCAGCATGGTCGTGGGTTCAATATCCCCGGACTGAAGAAAATTTTTTATGACGGGTGCTGCTTAATAGTCAATACAACAACATATTTCTTCCCATAGTCGGTAGTAAAACGACAGCTACCTGGAAGACTGGTAATGCACTGACACATTTTACCCTACCCACGTCTGTCCGAAAGCATTCGTATTATGTACATACTCATCATTTTCTAGTCTGCAACAGACGACATGTTTTCGTGGCTAGATCCGACAAAATTCTTATCGTGTACAAGACCATTCTCATCTTTTCTATTGAAGACACGTCGAATTTCTTAACATGTACACGCGCCCTAAATGTTGCCATGAAAAAACTGGTATAAATTAGAATGTGATCAGTCAATATAATTGACTTTTCATTTTTTTATTTTCAGCTTCCTAATCACCTATTTGAAGAACTCGTAATGGACATCTATGACGAGATCGATCGCCGAGAAACTGAAGCAAGTAAGTCATGGAAATCTAACGGTCGTCTACACGGGCGCTTTTCACTAAACTGCTTTCTCGGTGTACTGTTTTTTCGACCATAGCCACATATACATGTGTATATACATATGTGGCAGTACATATGTTGCTGTGGTCGAACTCTTTTTAGTTTACACGCGGTGGAACTCGACAGCTAGGCCGTTACCACGCGTATTTTCTTATTGTGGTGTGTGTGACACATGCAAATTAATAAATAATAAGGCGCTGTGCGCTGGCCATTATTACAGTTAATTACCTAAAAAATATTAGTGATAATAAAAAAATCGATCTAAAAGTTAATAAATAAAAACAGATGTAGAAAATAAATGTGGACTTATGAATAGAATTATCTATTAATTAAGACATATATTAAGTCAGTGGTTTTGGTAGTAGTAGAGCTTCTTGTGAAAGAGTTGGTCCAGGGAAGTGCTGCCACCTTATCTAATTCTGCCGCCGAGCAATAATGTCAGCTTAACTGCGTTCCGGCTTTGAAGGGTAAGGGTGCTGGTCAAATTACAGACACATGAGACTAGGATGACAGGAGTGTAGTGTACCATCAGCCGCACGACTTGTTCGCCCCGTCACTTGATATTATAAAAAAAAAGATTGTAAATAATTTTCAAAAAAATATATATAAATTGAAAAAATGAGAAAAAATAATTAGAAAACTTCATAAACATTGTTCCAGTCTGGCAAACCAGCGCGACAGGCCTCGAGCGCTGCGGCGTGGTGTTCCTCCCTGTCAACCCGGCACTGTCAGCTCCTCGGAACCAGGGCAGGCAGAAGCTGGCAAGACTGTCCACCGCTGAGATGGCCACGCTGCTGCGGGACGTGCTCGTCGACGCGACCAGACGGCAGCACATTGCCACTCTTCAGCCTAGAGGTGAGCTATTTCACAGATTTTAGAACACCGGTTTCTTATCAATAGAGTTGTTAATTTACTGGTGCGATTAGAGGTGATGCGAAATGAAGATGTATAATACCGATAAGTGTGGGACTGTATTTTTGCGATTTTTAATTACATTAAAGGTTACTTGTACTACGAGTAATTGCACTTGCAAGTAGCTTCCGATAAGGACTGGAAGCAGTATATAATAGTAGGTCGAAGAACAGGAAAAATGATGGGAACATGCACACTCACCTTTTCTTTCGTTACGCTTCTGGCTGCAATTCCGCCTGGATACGGCTGTCACAGGAGGATAAATCCTCAGGTTCACTATTGAGCACAGTGAATTGCGAAAATAAACTATTAAAAACACAATCGCGCCAGTTAGTCATTTTTAACCGACTTTAAAAAGAGGAGGATGTTCTCAAGTCGACTGTGTGTTTCTTTTTGTATGTATGTTACGCGATAACTCCGGTAATTATGAACCGATTTTCATGATTCTTTTTTTGTTGGAAAGAGGGTAACTCCATAGTGGTCCCATTTAATTTTAAAGATAATCATCCACCTCTAAGGGTGGCTGTTCACGCATGAAGATTCATTTTTATAAATAGCGCCTAAATTTTATTATAACGAGCAATTATTTTGATGGTTGATTTTGCTATTCTCCAATTCAAGGGGCTTTTCTCTCTCAATATACTTTGAGTAGTGACAACCGATTTTTATTATCTCCTGTGTCAAGTCCCGTACAGTGGCGGATGGATATTTCAATAAAATTTGGCAAATAGACGTAATTCCATGTACTTTTGAGGTCGGCTTTTTAAATACTCTGTACTGAGAATATTTGATGCACACAGTTCAGTGTCATAGGTTAGACTATCGTCTTATTTTTGTTGCCAACTCATTGGCCGGAGGAGGAGGATGATGGAGGACACAAAGGAAGGTAGTCCTCGCATGTGCTACGATCTACCCTATACTATTTTTGATGAATGTCCAATGAAAAAAAAGGAAAGAAAATATGAAATCCAACAATTAACTTACATTTAATAATTAATATTTTAAGTATTGAAATGGAAGAAGGTATCGAGTTATTTTAATTTAATGTAATATTTCTTTACAGTTTATGTAAATCTATTTTTTAAGAATGCCGTGCTGGCTATTGTTGGAGCTGTGTCGAAATAAGAATTACGATATACGATTTGAGCAAATAATTTGCTTATTTATTTGTTGAGACAAGATATTGGCACGTGCATAGATAAACTTGCATTATCTTGCTGTAAAGTATACAATACTTAAGCGTATACAGCAATAACGATAGAAAATAAATAACGACATGTAGGTTTTTAAT